GTATTCCGAAATGCGTTGTTTACTAATCTAAAAATCACATTGTGGCGTATTCATCTTGTAGATATTTCCAGAATGCGCCTATTGCCCAAAGTGTCCATGAAAAAATAGAAACAAATCTGCAGAGTTTGGGATAAGGAGGGAACAAACTGTAGTGTGCGCCATCGAACTGAATGCTTGGTGTAATTCCCATCGACATTTCATCCCAATTTCAATGGATGTATGATAAAATATAGAGGTCGGACATAAAGAGCGTTTAAACAAGATATTAGGAACGATATGGAGGTCTAAATGCAGTTTGCTCATTCGACTCAGTTGCCCCCCAAATAAAATGAATTAATCAAAAGCTGGCCCAAATTAAACACTGATTGATGCTACATTTCATTCACTTCATCATGAAGAGGGTAACAAAGGCGGGTTGTGATCACGTTTCGAGCACGAATTTTAACGAAGTTCACGCGTCACATATAATTTTAGCTACTGTTAACAATGTTTTCGTTTTTCATAAATACACGAATCACGTATGTCTTTTAGTTGCTATTCACGAGTCAGACACTAATTTTCTGCCCTCATTAGATGCCACACATAATTCCTTTGAACTCAGTTCAAACAGGTTGTTTTCCTCTGCAGTAAATAAATGTTTGCAAGCAAACTTTTCAAACCAACATGATTAACAGCGAAATGTCGTTGGAGGTGCTTCTCAGTGTCTTTGGTCTTAATGAAAAGGAATGCAATTTTCTGTTTGAATAGCCGGTATAGACTCGCTGGTAGGTCTACATAACTGGTGGATATATTCGTATAGACCACCAGTAAGTATACACGTTTGTTGATAACTCAGTGGTGACGCACTTTCTATTGATAACTGGTTCAAATTAAACCCATTAAAGTGAGCTTCCCGTGGGAAAGGTCCGCACGCTTGAACAGAAAATAAACAACATCGTACTGCCTTCATGTTGTGAAAATAACACGAACCTGTTATGTTATGTTATGTAGCGAAATTCGCATCATAAAAAAAATCGACCACATGTCAGTGAAGAAATGCAGTTGAAATAAACTAAAATAATTATAATTTGTGCAAAGCAAGTAAAATCATTTGCGTGAGCTAGAAAATACCAGAGAATCCACTGGTTAAGGTTTCATAACACTTTTTACCTTTCAGAACCTTAAATTTATAATACTGACTTTGTTTCTTTTGTGTCAAAATGTATCTCATCTTTTTGGCTTCTTATTTCGTTAATTATTTAATACGACCATTATACCGTTCAGTTTTTTTCTTATTCCAATACTTTTTGATGTTGTTTTGGTCGTTTCAGTTATGATACGCATCTCGAGCTTGAACTTGTATCATTGGCTGCGGTTTAATTGGACTTTTGTCAATATCGACCCGTAGAAATACTATGCACAGAATTATACCACACGTAAAATTTACAACAATGCAATTTCAAATAATGAATGACAGCAATCGCGTTTGGCACATAACCCGTTTCTGCTTAGTTCTGCTTGGTCAAAACTGATACATCAAAGATCATTACATCGTAATACGACATATGGTGGCATAGCGTCGTTTCAAATGCTCACTTTGATGTAAAGACGAATGTTTTGACGAGCTACTAAAGGCAAAGTAGAAAAGACGGGCCATTGTTTCTGATAGTCGATCTGATTTAAGTCGTGAATCAAGAACTCTGCAGGTTTAAACGTTCATCCGAAAGCAGACTAAAACAGGGGCGTTTGAACATCACCGTTCTTCGGCAATGTACATTTGACAAAGGCCTGCTTCGGCCACTCCTTTGGAAGAATACAAAATACGGTCAAACCTAGCAACTTCCCTTACATTCAAAACCTCTTTCATTGTCTTTTAATCAGTTTTACTCAGCATGAAAAGGGGTGCGTGCATGCATCTCTAACTTCCTTCCAAAGAGAAGTCAAAAGAACGTCCTTCATCAGTAGATGCATGGTGTTGGATATGACGAGATTCGGTACATAAGAGTTCGAAACCCTGAATAAAACACGTTTATTTTTCAAATTCTAAAACAGTAAAAACACGGTAACTCAGACCTACAATCCATTCTTTATTCCTTCTGTAGAACAGGTAGAAGACATAAAAAATCCGCATTAAATTTGTTTGATGAGCATTTTCTCTGAATAGGGCACCAGTTTGAACGGTGTCAAGCCCCCTACTGTTTGGCGAATAACACCATGTACCATGCGGTTACCACTTCTGTGCTAATTCAAGCGCCTTTCTCGTTGCCTAGACCGCGAAGCCTTAATTTTAACAGCCGTTTTCAGTCCACTGAAAAATAACGTACTTAACTTTTATGTTGAACTTAGAAATCCAATCTCTAACTGACAGAGCGATTCGAACAGTTAACTATATAGTACTTCGGCTTCAACAACACTGGGTTCATTTGCCTGTCGTTTACGCCGTTTACTTTAACTCCGTGAAACTATCTTAGCTTATTTCTGGCTGAAAATAACTAAATCGAGTTATTGCTTGACCCGATTTTAACCAAGTCTACACGCGAATTTTGTGGTTAACTAAAATCAAAAATTCAGTTCTAGTTTTGTTATTACGTTTGCGATTAATTTAAGATTTGCGCATTGCGAAACGCCCGTTCATGTGTCATTCGATTACAAACTACAACTCTAGATGATTTTGGTGTTTTCTATCCTATTAATTTATCAAAGTTCAGTATCTCGGCTTAAGTTTGAGAATGTAAAACGTTGTTTTTTTTGGCTCCATTCTGATAACAACATACTCATTGTTAACGGTGGGCTAGCAGATGTAGGCTCGTATGGAATTACGTTTCTTTATGATGCAAATATTTTCTATAGTGATGTCCATTTTGATACATGTAGATGAAACAATTTCTCTTCGTCTTGAACAACACGATACTGCGATACTCTTTAAGTAATGTTGTTTTGTACTACATACACCAGGTCGGTCGCGTGGGTCAAACAAAATTAATTAAAGCGCGTTTCTTGTTTTGTTGTGCCGGGATGCCGAAGTGTTGGCCTGGAATGCATTGACAGAAAAGAGCAGATTTTAAAGTTCCACTTGTTCAAAATCAAATGATTTTCATATGAACAGAAACGGTGATGAAAATTAGAACTACAAAAGAAATCATTGTTGGGCAGTTTGATTTGTTTTTTCATTGAACTCGTTTTATAATCGCTGAGCACGTTTTTCACACCCACGCTCTGGCGTCAGTAAAATGCAAGAGAAGTTGAAGTAGAGTGATATAGAAAATGGAAATAAATATGTAGTTAGTTACGTTGGCATACTGCTAAAAAGACAGACGGTCCGCCAGCGTTATTGATTTTCCTTTCAATCTAAAGCTTTACAAAGTCATCAGTGTTTACCATGGTTTAAGAGTAACAGTTCGACGCAACAGATTAAGGCTTTTTCGCAAGCTAAGCTAATGTAAATCTTAAGTCAGATTAGAACTACAATTGTTTAAAAGAAATACGCGCTAGAAAAAGGATTAAAGGGCTGTTTTTCTACCTGCTACAGTGATTTAGCTTCTTTTATTTGACCGAAAGTTACAAAGAACAGCGGGTTGCAAACATATCTAATTAAGGTCATTAACTATCTACCTATTCTGTAACTAAGAGATGGAGGAAGCGAATAGGTAGCGCAAGCAAGGATTTTGCCGCGGGCGAGAAAGAGAAAGCAGATTATTTAAAAACAATGAAGCGAAGTCGTCGTTGCTCCAGTTTCGTCTCAAACATCAGGTTATTTAACGGTGAATAAACTAAGCAGGTATTAACCGTTAAGTCTGGATACGTCGTATATTCGTAGCTGGAATATGAAGGACATTCAGTTGATTTATTTACGTTGCAAAAGTCTTCAGAAAAAAAATATTGACAACGATTCCTTATGCGGGTCATTTCAACATCGCAAAATCAAGTTATCTAAGGCTTTGTTAGACTATCACAGATCTGCGTGACTCAATGAATGATATTCACTTGGTTTCCGTGCACAATCCAAAAGGCCATCCTATAGCCGGCGCGGCGGGTTGTTTTGCTCAAAAATTTCCTTTCACTGAGAATGGGTTCGTGAAAATAAAAAAGCGCTGATCTAGCTTTTGGAAGGTAAATAATCCATAGCCTCTGGCACCAGCTTTGCCTTTTGATAATATATTGGTTTAAAAGTTGTTTTTCATGTCCTTCAAACGTAGACCTAACAAAACGGAGTTTTAATTTCTTTTTAAAAGCCATTCTATTTGGTCATTGGCCAACTTTGGTTTTCAAAGGTCATTAACGTTGATACAATACACAATAACACTGAGTTAACATGTAATTATACTTTTCTACAACGAGAAAAGATCTTCGCTCAGCTGTCGTTAAAGTAGTTCGGCAATTCTTTTGCTTCCTAGGAGATCATGACTGCATGAATGTGGTCTAAGTCATTGCACAACCACAAAGTGAAACATCCTCAAAAATCAAACTTTCTTTCTGGCTCTACCGGGACAGGCTGCACGGAACTCTGTAGCTCGATCAATAAAAAATGTTATTGGGTTTCATTTGCAGTTGGAGACAGGTGCATCCTTACACTGCGAAAAGACAAAACAAAACTAGGTAAAATAATGGTCACAATATCAAATTCCTGTTTCCTATGTGGACCTCACCACAAGCTCGAATTTTTTACGAGATGACTGACGTGTGCCTTGTTATCGTTCTCACCGGGAGCGATGACAAGGCACGGGCGGGCAAGCAATTGTGCAAGCGGGTCGTTTAACAGTTTCTATCGCTTTTTGTATACCCAATATCCTCGTTAACACTTTGCCTTGGAGCTTCTTCTTTAATGTCACGCAGTGGAGTGCGTTTAGAAACGTTTTTCTACGAGGAATTGACACGTCTGGTCACGTGATCAGCACTTGCTCTTCAGGACAATGAGAGAAGAGTATTTGGTTAATGGCCATCAATTTGAAGGCCTGCTTACTCAGCTGACGAAGATGTGTCTTAAATCCCTTTTTAATATTTTTCTTGAAAAACAACCCTGAAGAATATAAATGATCTCAACGCAAGTTTCAAGTTTCCTCACATTGTTTGATTAGATTATTGTTTAAGAATTTGATCTTCATTGTTTTCAATATATCTAATTTCGATAGCTTGGTTAGTTTCCGATGTCTTATCATGCTTAGCTAAGCGAAATCTGGCGGTTTGTTTACTTCACTGAAGGTCTTCTAACTACACTTGCAAAACTGGGAAACCATGGATTTGTTTTTGTATATCGTCTAGCTGGACCTAGTTGAATTTAAGAAAAAGGTTTTATAAAAATACAGAGGAAAATAACACAGATCATGTTCCGTGCTACTCTTTTTTTGTTAAGAAGCCCCTACCATCTGCCATTTTTAATCTGATACAATGTTTACAGCTCGGTCAATTTAACATTTCTGTCTTTTTTGTCGTCTGTGGCCAGTCAGTGTCGATAAAGGAACAGAATATAGCAGCCCTTGATAAGGTGTTGTCTCTCAATTTTCATGACAGTTTCGGGGATGTTCGGGTGAGGGGTTTAATTAAAATCTTAAAACATTTACCTGCAGTGGAAACTAAGTACAGATGGAACAACGCAATCCCTTCATAATTGTCATTAGTCTGCGATTAGAGAAAAAAAATCGTGAATAATAAAAGGCAAACGAAAGGAAAACGAAAAGCTTCAGTCGGAAAAAAAAAAAATAGGGAAAGTGTTATTTTGATGGCCGTTTAGTTGCTAATTATTCAGCCGAATTTTAATTTACCTTGGTTGATGCTGAGGTGTGTGATCGTCTATAATGATGAATTTATTTTCAATTATTTCTAGATGGAGCTAGCTAGGCAAATGAAAGGCTGCAAATTAATTAATCATTACTCGCGCTGTTGTTCTGTTCTTTGAACAAGACAAACGTACTCGACTGAACACTGACAAGTTGACAACAATCCGATATCGAACGTAAAGTCTTCATTCACAGCATTTCAAATCTCGTCTTTTTGTTCCTGTCCTCGTTTAGGATAGCTCCTCTAAACGTGTGACCATTTGCTCCGCGCGGCTTTGTTCAGGCGACGTTAAATTCCTCATTCGTCGAAAGGCTCGAAAGAGTATTTGACGCGTATTTTGCGCCCCTAATTTCAAGTCTCCTTATTACATGAGGAATAATTCATTAAAATATCACTTGTGATCCTATTAGCTCTAAGCTAGATACCAGCTGTGCATACGATAAGCAGGTGAAATTTTCGTACCTCCCACAATTCAAATAGCAACATGGAGTGTTTGCCCTAAAATGGCAACCGATTCGAATCCACATTGAAGCGTTGACAGCACGACCGTGCTAACTGGCTCACGCCAAAATATCCTTCACGGCTACATCCTTAGGAAAATTTCTTTGGCTTACCAGTGTGCGATATTCTGTGGGTTAATTCAATGTTCCCCTTGTTAATTAGGCAAATCATTTTCCAGTCCCAAGCCTTTCACGCCCGAGCGCAATTTGGCGTCGGTCCGCGGCAGCCGACCAATCACAAGGCGGCAAGCGGAAAACAGCAGCTCTTAGAGGCCTTTGTATTATATTATGACCAGTTGATTGAATAGTTATTTGATTTACAAACTTCAGGATGAGCAAAGAATACACTTCAGAATTCATTGTATAATTCCATTAGCAAAAAATAATAGGCAGACTTTAAATATCGCCATAATTTGATATTTGTAGTCAGTCATTTGTCCGCGCACCTCATCGCATCAACATCGAGCACCGTTTTAGCAAACTAATCTGCGTCAACACCAATACTGTGAACCGGTCATTTACTTATGATCATGGAAAGTAACTTACAAGGGCATCCTCATCCTACATTTTTTCAGTCGCCGTTCTACGCAATGGTTTCTCCCCGTGGACAGAACCTCTCTAACGCTGCCAATTTGCCGTACGCCACGGCCGATACTTGCTGCAGTGTTCCCAGCTACCTGCCGGCTGCCTATCACCACTCCTTCGCTGGTCGACCGTACGAAGTGCCTTGTGTGTATCACCCAGCCTCCTACGTAGATCCTCAGCTACAACTTGCGGCTTTTCAAGGTAAGAATAAATTTTACTTTTCAATCGCAAAATAATCACTTTTAAATCGCGTGAACCAATTTTAAGCTCGGAGTTTGTTTTGTGATTCATTTTGTCTTTGAGCTGACTCGCAACATTAAGTAATTGTTCGTGTCGCTAAAAATCGTATTAACTAATTTGTTCTTGACATTTTAGGGGCCGATAACACCGTGTCAAATTCTAGATGAACTCATGATTAGATAAAAAGACAGTGTAGAAACTAAACACGGTGATTTTTCACTGGATTATCTTTGGCGATAACCGAGATTTGAGGATGAACTAAAAGATAACTGTAGCAAATTAAAGGTCGGCTTTGTTATCAAGATTTTCTTTCCGTTTTATTCTGCCTCTTGGTAACGAAAATATAAGAGAAATATTTCCCTAGCAAGCTAATACGTTAAACAAAACAGAAGCAAAAAATAATCTCAATATTACTTTTCCCAATGTTATAAACAAGCGACGAAGAAATTAGCGTTCAGTTTACGTTCCCGAGGAAACGGTTTTCAGTTCAAAAATTAGGAAAATTTGTGGTGTCGCTTAAACAAATGCTTTTTTAAAAAAATTCAGAGTGTTGTTTAAGACAAATTTGTTAATTATGCGTGTCACGTATTTATGAATCCGAAATGACGAACACTATTTCACTTTTTGTTGAAATGTTTTTACGCTTAAGGACACGATTTCTACTCATGAATTGTATTTCCTGGATGAAAGCGCTAAACAAAGAAATAACACATCAAGATATATTTTAGCCGTTATTATCTTCTTTGCACTTTAGAAGAATAACTTTCCTGGCTTTGGCTGAAAAGAAACAATGAATATTTTTTCCTGAGTATGTCTGGTTGATAACGGAAAAACAAAGTGGGGGAATACTGCAATTTTCCTTTCACATGTTACTGACAAATCAGAAAAAAAATAACATTCCTAGCTTTTCATTCGTCACACCCTAAAATAAAGAAGTTGATTGAAAGAAGAGCAACCAGTGTTAATGAAGTCACTTGTAATTTTATTCTGCCCACAGGCCAGAGATTCTTAGATCATTTACGCCCTCACAAGCCCCGAAGAATGCGAGTTCGGACAAACTTCAGCCCGTGGCAACTAGAGCAGCTCGAACGCGCGTTTGAGACGACCCATTATCCTGATGTTTTCATGCGCGAGGCTCTTGCCCTGAGATTAGACCTCACGGAAGCCAGAGTCCAGGTACAACTTATGTTTCTTCACCTTCTACAAAACACGATTTACTTCTGGGTTTGCTTTTTCGTCTCTGCTCTTCCAGTTCTTTTTGATGCTAAACACACCCTCAGGTTTACTTCGAATATTGTTTTGAACGTAAGAATCTGATGCAAGAGATCCAGGCCGACAGACACAGGAAAAACAATTTCCTTCTGGATAGGAGTTTTCCTTTTCTTTGTTCTATATACGTGTATGTTCTACAAAAAAAAAATATGTTTTAAAGTTGGTCAGTTCATAATCTACAAGTTTGCGCAATTATTACCTCCTGTTCACGACTCATTTCTGCTCTGTCATACATCGCAGCTTTACCTCCCACGTGAAGCAGCTGAGTTTCACACACGAAATAAAACATTTATTCAAACTGTTTCTTATTTGTCTTCTAAACCTCGCTCGCGAGACCCTGATTTCAGAATTAAATCCAGAGAAAAAGAAAAACAGAACAAGTTATAAGAGTCATTCAATAACACATCCTTTTTTACAAAACTTTTTTACAAAGTCTATTCAGACATAAAGAGTCGTACCGTAATATCGAACAAATTTAGTACGAGAAACAAAAAAGTGTTTCTCGGTCGAAAGGTTAAGGAAAAAGGTATACAGTTGTTTCCTAATTTTGACGTTGTGTCACTTAGTATCTGTTTCACTGTGTTAACCTGTTATCCTGATATTTAGACACGTTATCCGTTAATTCCCTTTTCGCTTACATTAATAGATGACAGGTGGGAGGGTAGTAACTAGCCAATGAAACCCGCCAACCAAAGCAAAGCGGAAAGCCCTGACTAATTCGATTGAACTAGGAACACATTGTCTTCTCTTTGGAAGCTCCGTCTCACTAAAAACAAAATAAATCAAACACGAAAATCTAAAACATCGAAATCACCAAACACATGAGAACATTTATCATTAATCAATGTTATCGACCACGATGGCGTTCGTCTTTCTTTAATGGTTGGCACGAGCGACGATTTTTTAAAGAAAGAAGCAATTATTTTCCCCCCTCGAGGATGCGATCTTTGTTTGTAACGAACGTTATTGTTTTGGCTGAATATTTATCGCCACACTTGGTTCTTTTCTTCTCTGTTTCAAAATTCAAAGCGTGCTATACCGCGTTCTTCCTCCTTTATTTTCCTTTAATTGGAAATTTTTTAATCAAAGGAATCGAAATAAAAGTACCAAATGTTACTCTCCCATCTGCAATGTGCTTTCAGACTCCAAACCTCCGGTAAAACTGCTCGGCAGATCGAGTAGTTTTAATTCGTCGTTTTGTATTTTCCGAAGTTACTATCAACAGTTACATTAGAAAAACAGAAACGGGTAAATGTTATCTAAACCAAAATTGACAATAGTTGAGTTAAAATGCAAATTTTCATGTTCAACTGATCATTCAAGTGTCGCTGTGTATTGTTCAATTCCACAGCGGCCATTTACTTGGAAGAAAGGAAAAATTGCTATCTAACATTTTATTTATCCCATGTTGGCACATAAACATCCTGAAAGCTTTTTGGATAATGGCGTCAATTTTGACTTCACTTGTTGTATAAAAAGGTCTTTTACTTGAGAGGTAAACAAATTTTCAGTTATTCGCTGCCTCATAATGCCAACGCAAAAAAAGTTTAAAGATCATTGTTGAAATTTGCAATGAAATGTCTCTCCAAACATTCAAAAAGACCAGTCGCTTTCGTTTTATTAATTGCGATAAATATAATAAAGGTTATTGTATAATACCACATGCCGCACAAATCTTACTGCGAGAAAACAATGCTTTTAAGGTGGTTTTTTCAGACAGTAAAGTGTCTTTAAACTGACTCCTTGTTGCATTTTCTCAGGTATGGTTTCAGAACCGTCGAGCAAAATGGCGGAAGAGGGAGAAAGCGAAAGATGGTGAAGATGGGCAGAAAGATTCAGATAACAACGAGGAAACGGAGGCGAATGAAGAAAAGAGGGAAACGGACGGAGAAGAACGAGAATTGAGCGGCGATATGGTAATTAAAAGAGAAAAAGACAGCGTGGAACACGAAGGACAAGATACAGGAAATGGAGAGAAATCGGAGGACGAATATCGTCAGGAAGATACGCGAAAGCCAGTGAAGGAAGAATTCCCAGCGCAGTGTGGGCGTTTTAAGGGATGCGCGGGTCATGCGTACAGCGACAAAGAACACAGTTCAAGAGATTTCGATTATTTTGAGAAGATAAGAACATCAAGCATCGCTGCTCTCCGACGAAGAGCAAAGGAACACGAAGTACTTCTCACGTCACAGAACTCTGTGATTTGAGACTAATGAGGATCATTAGAGATCATGATCAGCGATTCTTCGTTTGACACATTGAACAACATAGCATAAATGAACCAGTCTTTGACAGTGACTGATCGTGTTGGCGAGTTCTGGGTACATAACAAGTGTAAATACTAGCTCCGTCAGTCGATGCACATTTTCCGGATGTCATCTCTAAAGAACACATTTCAGTTTTAAAATACAGTAATGATAGGTCACTGTGCCAAATATTGATGAATCAAGATCTAATGTCGCTCGTTTCTGCCAAAAGCGAAACAGTAGTAGCTGTCAGTGCGCTTTGTTTGATGACAGAGTAACTAAACAAATGTTAACTCAACTCAATAACCTAATCTGTAGTTGTCGACCAAAACACGTCGAAAAAAGATGAACGCTCTCACGCCTCCGGGCTTTTAGTAAAAACTGAAGTTAGTGAAGTTTCCAGCCAGTTGTACAGTAACCGCTGTTTTTGGCCACTAAATTTCAACACCGGTCAAGATTTTCCGGTAAGATCCCTAAATCAGAGTTCAAGCAAGATATTAAAATCAGAAAGTCTCGATGTCAGAACGAACCGGTAGTACAGTAGGCAGAAAAATAACTCTGCCGGTCAGGAGGGCCTTATTTTGGGCAAAAGTCTTTAATCTAGTCTGTACAAAGTAATTATCTCAATTTTGATTCAGATACGTTTGGCAGATCCTAATTGAATGTAACAAACATTAGATAGATATCTGGAGTTTATAGTATTGTTGTTAAAATATTACTTGAAACTCAGGTTGTAAAACTATAAACATTGAATTAAAACTCTGTAATAATTCGGTCGTCTCGACCCAGTATTGAAATAAAGCTTCAAGCTATATAACTACAATCCTCAGTATTTATTTGTAACGACTATTTAGTTCGATAAATGAAAGGAAAAATTTTCTGCGGCTTTCAACGAACGAAGTTTTAATTACAAAAAGTGCACACCGTTTTGGTTATATTCCCGAAATATCCAATTTCACAGGTTTCACTGAATGTGAAATAGTGGTACATAATTTTAAGCAGGTTTTTAAGATCAAATTTTGCTTCTGTACTTCTTTTGTGGTGCACAATTATTAATACTTCAAACAAAAGAAATAACTTTTTTATAACCTATTTAAGATATTGTTACCTGCTAACAGAGTCGCTTCGATCTTTCCTAAATATGAAAGATCGAAGCGACTCTACTAGCGGGGTAAGATTTTGCGAGTAAGTACGATTTTATTATTCGCTCAGTGGACTTTTACGGTACGACTCGACTTAGTTAAATGAGCTACCCAATGATTAAAAATTTTCCAACATTTCCAGAAGATGTTTCACCGAAAAAGGTTTCATTTTCATTTTATTTTGTCCCGCTTTTTTTATTTTAACTCCGACAAATAATCGATTTAGCGAATAAGACGTTACTAAAATATTATTCCTACATTTATATCAATATATTTTATATCATCTTTATTGTAGTTGACGCTTGACTTGCCGAATAATTCACACACTTTTCTTATTTGTTCAAACAGGAATAACTCCATTTGAAAATATTTATTAAGTTACAGAGCTCTGCCAAGCTCTGGAGGATTTAAGTTGAATGATTCCACGTTGCATTTCAAACATTTACAATTAACACAACTCGCGAAGACGCTGAAATGACCTCTGTTTATTTGCTTTCCCCTTTCATATTTCTCGCAAAATTGATCGCCTATTTGCCTTTTTAGTCGTTTTTAAATCATGTACGTCAATTGCGACATTTTTCGGCTCGTGTCTTTACCCCGAACAAGTCTTCTGCGAAGATAAATTCGCTATACAATTGTTGCATACTGATTGGCATTAGGCGGCGAAATCTAAACTGAACATTTGGGACATCCCATTTTGGCGTTTTAATTGCTGTTGTCTGACTTGCATTAGAGTCTTTCAAGTGATTCGTCAAAGTTCTCCTCATAACAGCTGATGGATAAACGTAAATTTCGCTTCAGAAATTAGATAAATTTCAATTTGCAATAACTTCAAAAGGCAATCGAGGTCGCACAGATTAAATAGGATGAAATAAATCTTTCTATTGAAATGGTATTATTTCGTGCAAAATCAATTTGCCACTCTCGGGGTTTGAAAATACTGAGAATTATAATTTCGTTTACGCGGTAAAAAAACTCAAAAGGCCCGAAAATTTAATTTTTTCAATTTACTGATGGCCTTAAAGGTCAAACTGCTCGGACGATTAATTAACTAAGACAAACGGACAGGTTTTCTTTCGATATTGCACCGAGCACAACCTTGTGTGTCACAACATTATTCATTTATCAAAAAGAGTTTTTCAGTGTTTCACCTTTTCATATTGTCGCGTCTGAACCATTTCCATTGTATTTACTTTGATACCTGACAAACTTCAAAAGCACGATTGGCTCTCGAACACTAGCAACGTTTTTTTGAAAACTATTTTGAAAAAAACCTGAACAGGAGTGGAGCTAATTCTGAAGTATACTGCAAACGGCGTTGAACTTAACGATTGCTTTTTGCGTTGTCTTTGGACTAAAAAACTACTAATCTGCTAAACGAAGTCATAAAACAGCCACTGCGGAAGTACCAATTGAGTATTAGAACACAAAAACTACTTTTTATTATTTGGTTTTTAATTTATTCGTGGGAATTTTTTTCCAGGGAAAGAATACGGTGACCAAATGAACCATTAGATATCCCATTGTGAGATTCTCTAAAATCGGAGGTCAAATTTGAAACGCAAACTTGAGCCAAGTACGAGAAAACACCCCGAATCAATGAAATGGCTTCAAATCGCGGATGTTGGCGCTGTCACCACATGTTAGGTTCACATAATTATTATCGTATTTGGAAAATCGAATTACTCATTGCTTCCAAGCTCATAAAATGGATTTTGTTCGGCGCAAATGAAACGAATTAATTGCAAATTCTTAATTGTTTACGCGCTTCCAGCTTTACTAGACGATCAAAGTTGTGGGAAATTTACCACTGTCCCAAAAGGCGTTTTTAAATTTTCTCATCCTAGAAATAGGGGTGATAATTTTTCAACACACAAGCGAAGGCTTCAACACTTCACAATTTCTTAAACGATTTATCCCCTGAAAATGCAAATTATCCAGTGAAATTTTGCTGCAAAAAGCCTTTAATTGTGAGTTAACCGACGCTGATTGACAACAAAGAAAATCAAGCCTTCTTTCGTCTTGATTTCTTTCAATTCGCCATGTCCAAACCAGATCATGTTATGTTTGCCGTAGCTGCTAATTTCTTTGGAATATCACCTTCGAAATTTTTAGGTTTTCGCACCTGGGTCAACACTACTCTAAAAGGTTTAGGGTTTTATTTACCCAAAATCAAAAACAGGCGATCAGTATCAAATTTGTCAAGTAAGTTAACACGCAAATTGTCGACGCTCATTTGAATTTAGACGACATTATGGGTTTACGTAGCCAGGTTGTTTAACTTTGCAAACGACAACCTCGTCAAGGACAGATTCTAAATTAAAATACAACAAACCAATCATTTTTTCATCTATTATTTCTCGCAAGGTTAGCGCGGTTCAGCGATTTTTTTTCAATCGCAACTAACTGATATGAAAATTAATATTTTCAATTGTGTTATTCCACTAATTTACGATCTATATCTCTTTTCAGTAACATACTTTCATTGAGCGCTTTAGAAAACGAGACCACCGTCTGTTTTAGGGGACTGTTTCTGTCACGGTATAGTTAAGAAAAAATCCATCCAGAAACGGGATGGACGCATTCTTGGTAACCAAGAGAAAAGGTAATTAGGTTCTGAAATATGTAGATGATTTCCAACTACGCAACTGATATAATAAAAAGAGATATTAGATATTTTGTGCGCAAGTGAAAAGGTACAATTTCTAATCTCCACAGCGGAAAAATAGTACTAGAATGCGTCTAATTTTCAACTCTTTTTTCGCTTGCCTGTCTATGGAACTATGTTACCAAGTAAAAATATAGGACATACGCGGCGTTTTTGAAGCGTTTTAGCGGTTAGAGATGCTAGACTTTAAAGCGTAAGCTCAAAAACTGAGGAAGAAAAATCAACAAAATTCCCTCGGGACTTGCTTTGTTCTGAAAATGCACCGGCGTAATGTCGGCACAATCACATCTTACGAAAGTTAACTCGAGAAAAGAAAAAGCGGAAAGCCATTGTGAAAGCAAAGTTAGATTTTCAAGGGACTATTTAACGCTGTACACCTGCCCATTCATTAAAAGTAAAAACGCGTTAAATTTCCGATATTGACGATATTAAATTTCGATTCTTTGAGACGTAAGTCCTTAAGTTTCGCACAATTCGAAACGAGTTTCGGACCTGGGTAAAATAAAAAACCGTAATGTTGTAAATTAATCGTAATAAAGGTTGATCAGATAAAGAGAGTAATAACGTTTGTGCACGAACGGTCCTTTTGGGGTTTTTAAATAAATCACCGAAATCAGACGTCTTCTATTCAAGTGTCATTCAGTCAAACACTGCACTGCGACAATTAAAAAAAAAAAATTATATCTTTGTCACTCTTTGTGAAATCTTTGGGCACAGCTTCAGTTTAAATGTTATGACCTCAAGACAGTTTGAACAACCGTTTTGATCGAAAAGAAATGCGTTCGTAGATTTTGGGTTTTTTAAATTCAGATAAGGAATAAAATTACATTGTAAGGGGGGCTACATTTGAAAGATGTTTGTCATGCAAGTTTGTCAGTATTCTCTTTGGAGTTTCATGCAATCTGAGATGCCATCATAGGTTTTATTTACAATGGAAGGTCACACAAAACGTTTGAGTTTTTAAAATTCTTATTCAAGACTTACGAGCCAGTAAAAAGAATGGTTGGGTGGAGAAGATAAGTAGATTTGCAAAAATTTGGACATCCAAGTAGCCTCCCTTTAAGAATAGTTGTCTTGTAAGGGGAGTTTGTGGGCCATTATTTCTTTAACATGATTCTTCATCCCAATTGAAATAATTCGCCATTAATCCCTAAATTGTCTGTTTTGCAACAATCCGTTTAAATCTTATCACGTTCCTCTATGGTTCATTTGACCGTTTCTTTAAAAGCTTTTTTTGATCACCCCAGTGGTTCAACTACTGCCGTTACACAGGATGCAAGATCCTGGGTTTTACTGCATTTCCTGGGGGTCCGAGCAAAAACAAGAGGAGATGTCCCCTTTGGGACACTGAGGTGTTTATAAAGTTATAGGTAAAACTCTCGTTTAAGCTTGAGTTTTTTTTGTAGCTCCCTTTTTTAGCAGTAATTAGATTGCTGTTAACCCCCAAAGGTCACTCATAATCACTTTCAGCTATTAAGAGTTGCTATCAGTATGAGATTTCTTACAACTTGGAGGCAATTTCCACTTACATCAGCAAAAATGACTTGAAATTGAATGACAGGGGACTATTAGCAAAAACCTTCATGTTAGAGAGTAGAGAACATCGAAAAGGAAATTTTTTTCCCTATCGCTAAGGTAGTGAGAATGAGGATATACATTTATCTTAGTGAGTCAGTGGTAAAAGTTCCTTCTCGGACCTTCTCGGCTCCGCCATATAAAGAGGAAGGAAAATCTTTAGAGAAGAGGACTACCATCGCATTCAAGCCTGGGACACATGTAGAGGTAAATACTCCTCGTCGCTTTATTTTATTGAAAATCAAAGATAAGAATTAGAGGTGGCGAATGGTCCTTTAAAAANACACCGTTTTGGTTATATTCCCGAAATATCCAATTTCACAGGTTTCACTGAATGTGAAATAGTGGTACATAATTTTAAGCAGGTTTTTAAGATCAAATTTTGCTTCTGTACTTCTTTTGTGGTGCACAA